CCCCCCCTTCTCCCACTGCGCAGAGGGTGGGGGGGGGGGGGCGTGCGGGTAGGGGAAAGGAGGCACTCACAGGTTTTGGCCTCGCCAGGGTCCAGGCGCAAGTCACAGAAGAGGATCTTGGGGGGAGTGGACAGGATGCACTGGCCCCGCTCGCCTGCAAGGGAAGGACCGAGGTGGGGCAACCTGGCTGGCCCCGGCCCCTCCCCCGAAGGCCTCCCTTCTCTCTGTGGCCAGAAGGATCGCCCACTGGCCCAGGAGCTGCCGGCCCCACGGAGGGTCCCTGCCTCTCCCCACCACCGCTCCTCACCTCGGTTGGGGACAAAGACCGTCTCCTTCTCTGCCTGCACGTCGTGCCCGCCCTCCTCGGGCGGCGGAAGGGCCACCCGGCTCTCGCTGGCATGGAACTGGCAGTGGATCTGGGCGCTGGCCCAGGCCAGCATTTCACTGCAGACCGGACGAGACAGGAGTCGGGTGAGAGGGTCTCGGGTCCAGGCAGCTCCCTCTGGCCCGCCCGCCCAAAGGCAAAAGGCAGCAACGCCATCCTACCTGCTTCGCCCTCTTCCCCCCCCCCACTCAACAAGGGCTTCTTTCAGACCCTTGCGCGTGTCCCCTCCCCACCAAAAAAGACCTTTGGGAACAGCCCGGGGGGGGGGGGGGATCTTGGGGGCTTAGGCAGCCGGGGGGGGGCATTCAATGGCCAGCTCCAAGCCACCATTGGGGGCCTGGCGGCTCTACCCCTGGGGCTCCCTTGGGGCTTTTTGGGTTCCGCTAAGCTAGAACAACATGGCAGAAGACCTTGCAGGGGCCCCCTCCCTCCTCCCTCCCTCCCGGCTTCCTTCCATGTCCCCCACACCACACCAACTTTGAGAAATGGGGTTGGGAAAGAGGGGTAAGGAGAGCCGGATCCTGGCTGCCTTGCCCCCCCCCCGTCCACCTGCAAAGCCTTATTCTGGAGAGTTAATGCAGAAGAAAGCCCCCCCCCAAGGCTCTATAAGGTGGCGGGGGGAGGGAGGGGGTTGGGGGACATCCTCAGCCTGTCACAAAC